ATATGATCGATTATAAATTTCATTATGATCGTTTTTTCATTAAAACTTTACCCTCAAGAGGATTAAATATAACTCTTTATGGTAAATTTGACGGTATTTCAAATAATGTAATATTATTTTTAGCTATCCTTTTTCCGTTATATCAACAAAAGTTTTTTTTTAAATTAATTTTTTTTTTTTTTTTTTTTTAAAAAAAAAAAGTCTCCATTAATTTTGAGTAACGGTAAACAAATTGACCGATATGTAATAAAATTTAGTGATAAGACTGGTAAGAACAACATATAATTATAAATCCATTTAATTAATACTTAACTGATTTATTATTGTTCCTTCACTTTTAGGAAGTCAACAGATAACACTTTGGGGAAAGTTTGGGCGTGAAATTGCCGAATATAATATTGGACAATATATTGTTTTGGAAGGATTACATATATGGAAGAAAAATAATGGTCAATTAGATATTACCGGTGATGCATCAACTGGCGCCATGATATATAATGGTAAAACTTGTTTATTCTCGTAATGTAAATTCATTTTAACCAAATTCATTCAAATATTTCCTTTTTTTTTTTTATTGCATATAGTTAGTATGGCTAAAGGATTGTTAGCTATTTCGACGTTACACAGCCGTTCTCTTTCATTATCAACAATTATTAAGCATCAACATATATATCAATTTATTTGTCGATGTTTAATTATTGGTTGGGAGACAAATGACAATTCATTGGATATAAATTGGCGTTTAGATGATGGTACCGGTGTTATTTGGGCCAAGGCTGTGGGCACTGTGTCACAAGTAAGATAAAAAAATTCATACATTATTATTACTATTATTATTTTCTAACATAATTACTTTGGTAAAGGATATTTTACACTCTAGTGGAATTGAAACATTGACAGATAGTTTAATTAAAACTAAATTGAATAAAGAGAATTTAGGAGTAAATCTTATTGGCAAAATGCTTTGGTGTTGCATTTCAATATTGGTACGTTAAATTATTTGGTTTTACACAAGTTTATTTTAAAATTTTTTTCATTGAACTTTATATAAAAATAGGCCTCAGGGAAGTACCAAATTAATACCGTTTTAGCAGATTATAGTGATGGCTCACATTCCATTGCGCAGGCAGACTGTGCACGAATGCTAAAAGAACTCTAATTTTTTTTTTTTTCTTCTAATCCGTTGAATGCTTATAAATTCTTTATCACGTTATTTCGTAAAAAGCCAATTAAATTGTAATGCATAGTGGAATCTTTTTATGTGCATAGCGGACACACGATTTGTCACATCTAAATTTTTATGATATCATGATTTTCATGTTGCATTTATGGTTCATAATAAAATTTGCATGCCTCAAATTTTTAAACCTCAATAGACCAATCAGAATGCAGAAACTAAAGATATTAAATTTCTAGACTACGTAATAGCTAATTAGAATCGCTATAATTAAAATTTACAAACATTAAATTCAAAATAAGTATATACCAGTATATGAAATATGTAGGGATAGTTTCCGTTTATCTGTCCGCTATGCTGATTTTCAAACCCCTTCTAGGAAAGGATTATGTTTTTTAGTGCTGACGTACATATTAATGATATAATAATTGAAATAAAGTTGCTCTTTTTTTTTCATTGCGATAGAGAACTCATTTGACCGGCTATAGTATTTTTAATCTCTGATCCATTGATTTGAGTGCATGAGAACACCCTAGAGGCCTGCATGGGCCGGGCCAAAATTTAAAAATTTTAAAAACCTCTCAAAATTGCGGGCCTGGTAAGGTAAAAACATAGTAAAAAGCGGGCCGAACTTTTAAAAAACATAATAAATTTTATTTTGCGGGCCGAGCGGGCCGGCAAAAGTTTAAATTTTTAGGCCCGTGCAGGTCCCTA